CCAACAATAACATTATTAGTACATCATCACTATATCACCATTCAAAACATCAACATCATACACAATGGTAACTTAATACTGACAGCTTCACGATCAACCGACATTTGCTGAAACATCGCAATCACCCGAGCTTCATCTTCCAAGAGCTATCCTATTTGCTTAACTAATGTCCTCAGGGGATCATCAAGAAATTACACACTTATTGTATATCACTAGTCATCACATTGCTATATATCCTCTGAGAAGAAGCCTTTAACAATTCTCTTTTTCCTTCGAAGGCGACTTTACTTTACCAACAAACATGAACCTTGAATCCGTACAATCTTCAGGTATGAAAATCTGCATCAAATCACCAAAACACTTCATAATCACTTGGTTTAATTCCATATAGTTCACCCTAAGGCTAACACCAAGTTAATTCAATATTTCGCTCTAAGGACAAGTCGCAATTATCCCCAGGAGAACATCAAGACTCACCCACATCAGGTACATCATTAGCCATAACATCACCCTCCAATTCTAGAGACGCGAACAACACGAGTACCTGATCATTCCCACTTAAGAAAATTTCGACTGATCATTAGACTTAAATCCTGAATTTGCACTTTCTCTAAATTCGGGAAACAACACTACTTCGTCAATCTTTGCACTTATACGATTCACGACACACTGAACCATCTCAGAGAAGCACGAGCTTCTCCCCCACTTGTTTCAATCCCACTTCTGCAAACAAGTGATTAGAATAACAAGCAAGCACCAACAATGTTTCACACACATGTTGTGTACTAAGGAACAAAATAATGACAGTATTCCACTATCACACTACAGACTCAACAACTTGGTCGGACGGACCGACCTGCTCTGATACCAATTTTAACACCCTATATCCCCAACGATAATTTTAATAAAAATCAGAGTAAAATAAATTTTTACATCAACAACAAATAGGATGTTACATCATTCAACATATTAAAACTTTGCTCAAATATAATTAAACAGATACATAACACATATTTCGGATGAACCGACAATATTTCAACATAGTCTTCAAACTTCAACTTTATTAATGCAGCGAAAAGAAATTCCTAAATTATTTTCAACATCTTCAAATCATCAAAAAACAACTTTTTTAATCCAATAAAATAGAGTCTATAATACTCCTACAATATTCCAAAATAAAAACATCAATTAAATATAACAAGCAAACGTTCATCCCCCCGGTGTTACGTATCAGAGCAATGACACCAGCTCAAAATAAGAAGAGAAACCTTTTCTAGACTCCGCGACTTTGCACTACTCTTGGTTATCTCTATGTTACCCACATAGAGGCAACATTAAAATAATAAGGGTGAGATATCATGACAATATAATAAGTCATATAATCATGAGTAAACAACAGGTATATCGTGCAAGATTTCAAGTTCCACAATCATCAATTATAGTTCATAATGATTACACAGATACATACTTAATTATCATCACCCATCATATGACATAAATCAAACATACAACTCAACTTCATTATCATCACCCATTATACAACGTAAATCGAACATACAACTCAACTTCATCGAATATCAACAATTAAACAAATGCAATGCGACTGACACTGATGCAAGATGCATGTGGTACCATCGGAGCATAAGCCTTCTCCAAGATTTCCATATAAGGCCAGGGCATAAGCCCTCAACATTTTTCCAATACAGGTCAAGGAATAGGCCTTCAACATTTTTCCAATACATGCCAAGGCATAAGTGAAACAACCGACTGAACAATCAACTGATAATGAAATCAATGAAGTCGCCATCAAACATTTTTTATCCCATATGAAAGGTAAACATCGAGTAAACCTGAGAAGGATGAAATCACAATCAAATAACCGTGAGATACAGGTAAGTGAGTCTGTTACGCGAGGGGAAGGTATTAGCACCCCACATGCCCGTAGTACTCTACGACATCCACTCTTGTTGTTATAATCTAATGGGTGTGTTTCAAATCTATATCTAAGCTGTACAGGGAATGCATGCAAAAGAAAGGAGAAAATAATGTAGGGAAAATAAAAAGTTGTGCTCGCTCGGACCCTACCCAAATGCCTACGTATCCCTTTTAAGGAATCAGAGCATCCGTAGTTCGACTTCAAAAGTTTTTGTTGGTTTGTATTTTTTAATGAACAATATTAATTTTGCCTTCTGCCACAACTCGACCTTTGGAGACTCACGCATCAGCACAGAAGTGAATTAATATGTTCTTTCTGAAAAAAGTTTGAAAGAAAAGCCCGAAGGCGCAAAAGAGTTTGCATTGGTTGATATTTTTTTACCTTAAAAAAAGGATTTAGAAGTTGTTATATGTTTTATGCTTTTTCAAAGAAAAAGGAAGTTTTTATTTTAATACATGGATGCAAAAGAAAGAAAAATCATCTAAGGGAGACTAACCTAGATCTATCCCTAATGTTATCATACAATGATTAACCCTAAGGTTAAGCTTTAAAGGGAAATATGTACTCCATGTTGACATGCTTGGATAACAATCCTAATGTCTATCTCAAATCATCATCTATAGATGGATCAAGAAGTCCTAAAGGATCATAGCAAGGGTCTATCACCTAAAACTATGTCTATCTCGAATCATCATCTATAGTTAAATCGAGAGCTTCTAAGGGAACATGACGAGGGTATGTCATCTCAAAACATGCACACAAAGATGAAATCAAACAAACAAGCCAATAAGCTCAAGAGAGCACAACTAGAGAGATCCTATCTAGGCTAGCATACCAAAGAAAGTATAACAAAACTATCCTATAGGGAACATGCAATGAGAGAGAAGTCGTGATCTCAATCTCTAAATTGAGTGACTCATCGATCAACAAGAAATAAATGAAAGCGATGAAATCCTATAGGGAGCATGCACTGAGAGCGAAGTCGTGACCTCAATTCCTAAATTGAGTGACTCATTGATCAACAACCAAGGAAACAAACACAAGCGCAACACATATAGCAAATGAAGTGCAGAATTCCTGCTACAGGTCTTTAAATAGCGACTTCGAGCGCACGCTCTTTATTTCCTACTTCTCATGATATCTAAAAAACAGTAAAGTACTAAAATGAGATAAACAAGGGAAAATACCAAACGGATATCAATCCGTAGCAAGGCGTATCAAAACAAAGAAACCCGACGATCTTCGCGAAAGCTTCACCAATCCAAGAAAAGAGTTAGAAATCAAATGCTTAGAATAAGCGTCGAAGTATCCTCAATGTGAAAATAAATTACAATCGAAAAACTTAAGCGCATCCGCTTATCGTACAACAAATATGCATAAGATTCACATCTCAACAAGCAAAGGTGAATTACCAATCTCAAATATAATCGGCTTAATCGGAATTTTATTTCCTAAAACTAAAATAAATAAATAAACCTATAAGTTTTTTATTGATTTTATTATTTCTCTTTGTCATGAAAAAATAGGATAAGTCCAAACAATGAACAATTTTATTCACCAACATTTGCAAACTAAAAAAAACCAGGGGTGAAAATTAGACACCATGCTACTGCATAACAATCTCGATTCTGGTTCTAGCCCAGCCCGTGAGATATTTTTATCATAGTTCTTCCAAGATGCAAAAAAAAATCCAATAGGCCTAAGTGGGTATGGTTCATAATCTGGATGGGACATATGATGAGGTATTCGTTGGGTTGAGGGCAACGTTTTGGCCCAAACAAACAACTTCAGTTTTTACAAAAAAAAATGAACAAAAAATGATGACCCCTGCAGCAATGGATTGAACAACACCGTTTAGTGGTGTTCATCGACCTTTCATCTCATTTTGAACCCTAGGTTCCCTCTTTCATTCTCACATATCTCGTAGAAACATGTTACCGCGGAGGAACCATGGATCACCGTTGAATTCTCATCCAATTCCATATCCTTTTGAGCTTTACTTCATCATCATTTTCCATGCAGAATTCGTGACCACGGCTTAAACAAAGAGAAACCTAAGTCTAAAATAAACTCATGAATTCGAACTCCAATGGAAGGAGCATAGATCGGAGAAGACAAAGCATATGCAATCGAGCAAGATCAAATGCAAGGCGAACCTGATTGAAGACTTGAGGGTTGCGTCGTGGCAGGGAAAGCGAGTTTTCTGATAAGCTTAGGATTGACAGGTGTTTCACCCTTCCCTTTGCTTATTCTATTATTTGATTTTGCTGATACGATTTCTCCTTACGTGTTTTATGATGCGTATCGCTGCTTCTGATTTGTGGTATCACCATTGAATTGATGCGAAGTATTACAAAATATTGAAGTGAGATTGATGAGGATGTTGCTGATGCAGTCACGTTTGTTGATTGAAGTTGTGCAGAAAGAAGCAACAAGAGGCGATGAAGGTTCTACATGGTTGTCGAGAAGGTGAAGGTTGGTGGATGAAGATAAAGATGGAGAAGAAAAAGTGGTTATGATGCTGATGATGCAGGCATGATGAAGATGTGTGAAGGTTGGTGGATGAAGATGCAAAATTGTTATGGAGAGAAATAAGAGAGAGGAAGTAGAGACTGTTTACTGGTGAGTTTTCTGTATTTTTCTGTATGAATCAATGATCGTGAATCTCTCTCCCCTTTTCTTCCAACTTGTTATCCTCTTTCCTTTTTTTGTTGAGAAGTAGTTAGAAGTTAGTTGCAGGTTAGTTTGACAGTTAGGAGTTATCTCGTAGCTGGAATTCTATTTCTGCTATTTTTGTTGAGAGAATGTTAGAGAAAACCGGTTAGGGGGTTGTGAATCGGTTCTGCAGGGTTGGGAAGTGTTTAGAATTTATTTAGAAATATGTTAGAAAAAAATAAAAGTTAGGAATAAGCTGAGTTGATGCTATTAGTTTTTCTGTTTGTGGTTTTTTTGGATTGTTAAAAACCTGTTTATGTTAGAAAGTTTGTTAGAAACCGTTATGAAATTTGTTAGAAGTTTTTATTGAAATGAATTAGAAACAGTTAGGGAATTAGTGAAAATTCTATTATGTTTTTTTAATTTTTTTATACTGGTTTCTGTTTCCTTGTTTAAGAGGATTGCTAATAATTAGTTCTCCATTTTCACCAATAAACTCAACTGTTGTATGTTTCTGGCTTTGCCCAGAAATAAATGGTCTAATTCGACAATATACCCTGATATTTCCTTTAAAATCTTGAACTTCATTATATAATATCCTATTTTCTGTTACAAGAACATGATAATCATCAGCAGCCTCAGCTAGACCTTTGAGCTTGATTCCAAAGTACTTGTATTCCTCCAAGTAGCTTCTTTTTGCTTTTATCACTTCATCTTTGAGAGATTTCATGACAACTTTAGATTCAGAAGCTTGCAATTATAACTTCAAAACATGTTCTTCATGTGATCTTTTTGCCATATCCAAATCTTGTTTCAATGCAGCAATTTCAATATCACTGTGAACTTTGTCTTTCTTTAATTGGGAAAAATACTGCTCTTCGAGTTTCTTCTTTTTTGAACTGGTTTTGTTTGCAAGCTGCTAAACTATTTTTCTGATTGAACTTATGGACTGTTTATGTTTTGTAAAGTGCAGGGTTGGAAAAATTGGAGCCGGGACATGAAACTTATCACAGAAGCAATTTTGTACATGGTTGAATCAAAGTTTGACAAAGAGTTTGGAGGTTGCAAAAATGGCATCGTGAAGTCATAACATGGAAAATAATGGAGCTAATGTTTAGGCAGGATAAATTTAGTGTAGCTTTGTGTAACTTACAATTTTTTTGTAGTTCCTTTGGAATGTAATATGGATTTGTAAATTCAAAATGAATCTCTTGGAAACATTTGCATGATGCCTAGAAACAATGGTTGGACGAGCATGGATTTTTGAGTGGACATTGAACGATGAATATTAAGATGTTGAATTTGAATGACGTAAATGAAGGTTTGGAATGTATTTGGATTGATTTTGAACGGTATTTGAATGATATTGAAAGTGAAAACTCGAACCAAAATAATCACTTGAATGGAATTATAATGAATGACTATGCCTTGCCATTTGTATCTTATCTTTTGCATTCCAAGAAACCCTTAAGACTAAGGCCTCCAAACTCGCCTGAATCAAATTCTTGAAAACAAACCAACGCTTAGATTTCTTTAATACCATTTGATTATCCTCTAAACACTTCACTTCATGACTCAGTGAACGAATTTCAACCAACTTGCATATTCAATGAACCAGTCCTGAACTCAAGATATGACACAACATTCAATCAAATCAATAATATTCCTGCATGAACTCAGTCAAGAAAACAACCTCTCCTTATTGACTTTGCCCAAAATTAAAGCCTTTATTCATATTTGTCTTACTCAATTAATTCTCTCTAGCATCATATTTTGTATTGTGCTTCAACTTTTGGAATTCAAGTCACAAACATGTCCACTTGAAAACGTAAGGCTAAAATCCTTAAAAAATTCCCTTGAAGATGATAAATCCTGACGCACAATATAAGGCTTTCCGAGAAAGTCCCTTGATAAAAACAAACCTTAATCTCATGATCTCCGATAAAAAAAACCTGATTGTAACACAATTATCGAAAACCTGGATTTGATCGCATATAGGAAAATAAACCTTGATAGCCTCGCGACTTGATGAAGAAAGAAATTCTTTGCGACCCAGGTCACAACCCTAATTCCACTGCTCGCTGCCTGAATAAGAAATCAGCCTTTATCCGACACGAACGCCTTAACCACTACGAAACCCTAATATCGTACAACCACTGAACTTTGAACCTCAAGCACTTTATTGAATGCAGTGCATGCTATGTTAGTGACCTAATGAAATATATGCGAATGAGTGCGAAGGTCTAAGCCAAATAAAAGAAATTAAGAGGCCAAATTTTGGGGTGCAACAGCTGCCCCTATTTAATCGTCTTAGACCTGAAGGTGAGATTGGCGCCAGCCTTTCGAACTTTCAAGGTAGAAGAAGATTAAATACTTAAAAGAACTCGGAAATTTGCGCTCCGAAGCCAGTCAGGTATTATTATATTTTTTATTTTCTGTTTTCTATTTATTTTTTGCTTTTTTGGATTACAGTAGCTAGCTGGGAAAACCTCTTGGATGTCAGGTCAAGGTTAGACAAACACAAAAAAGAGACCGACCGAAGAAGGCTCTAACGAAGGAACACCAATCAAAGGCAAACTTATTGAGGATGCAAATATACATTGACTCTGAACAGAACACCAATCAAAGGCGAACTTACAAAGAAAAGAGACCAAACGAATGGGACTCCTGAAAAATGATACCAGCCGAATGTGGATTTAAGGGTAAAGAAACCAGCCGAAGAGGAATCTTTAATAATGAAAAGAACGCCGGTCAAAGGCGAACTTTCAACCGAAAAGAGACCAGCAAAAGGGGACTCTTAACAAAAGGTACCAACCGAAGGTGGATTTTATGGGCAAAGAAACCATCCAAAGGGGAATCTTTAACAAGGAATACTATACCGAAGGTAGATTCCTAAGAAAAGAACGCCGGTCAAAGGTGAACTTTCAACCGAAAAGAGACCATCTGAAGGGGGCTGTTAACAAAAAGATACCAGCCGAAGGTGGACTTTAAGGGTAAAGAAACCAGCCGAAGGGGAATCTTCATCAAGGAATACTATGCCGGAGGTAGATTCCTAAGGAAAGAATGCCGATCAAAGGCGAACTTTCAATTGAAAAGAGACCAGCCGAAGGGGACTCTCAACAAAAAGTACCACCCGAAGGTAGATTTTAAAGGGTAAAGGAACCAACTGAAGGGGGACCTTTAACAAGGAACACTATGCCGAAGGTAAATTCCTAAGAAAAGAACGCCGGTCAAAGGAGAACTTTCAACCGAAAAGAGACCAGCCGAAGGGGACTCTTAACAAAAGGTACCAGCCGAAGGTGGATTTTAAGAAAAGAACACCAATCAAAGGAGAACTCAAAAGGGATAAAGATATGCATATCTGGTTAGAGTTAGACACACACGAGCAAAATTGAGCATCAAGAAACAAATGTTTGGAGTTGATAGTGAACACAAGAATGAGACTAACCGAAGAAAACCCCAACAAGGAAGGACGCATTCGCCTAAACAAGGACGTCTGACAATTGGACTTTGAAGAGACACTGAAGGACTCTTAACGTAAAAGGTTAGCTAAGCTGACGAAAGGAGGACCCGACTAACACGGATAAACCAAAACAAGGAACCGACTAAGCAGGACCTTCAAAAAGCACCGATCGAAGGTGAACTCTACAAGAGAAAGAGATCGGTCAAAGCGGACTCTAACAAGGATTGCCAAAACACGTTAGGCTTTTGATAGGTTGCAAATACGCAAGAACTACGAAATCCCTTAGGCCAAAGGTGGGGTGTAATTCTTCAAGAGTGGATATTATCTAAATTACCACACACCAAGTATGGATACTCAAATGCTTGAGAAGTGAGAAAGGCTATACTCCTACTCTCACTCGCACTCTAATGGCAAAGAAAACATGGGTAAAATAACCAAAGGCTTGTAAGGGCAAGTGTAAACCACAAACTTACTGGGGATTCCCATATGTATTGAACTTAAACAGAACGTTGGTCGAAGGAGGACTTGTGATTATAAAAAGAGACCAACTGTAGGGACTCTAAACAAGGATTCCCAACACGCGTTGGGCTTTAAAAATTTTCAAATACGCAAGAACTGCCAAATCCCTCAGGCCAAAGGTGGGGTGTAATTCTTCAAGAGTGGAAATCATCTGAATTACCACACACCAAGTATGGATACTCAAATGCTTGAGAAGCAAGAAAGGCTATACACCGACTCTTACTCGCACTCTAATGGCAAAGAAAACATGGGTAAAATAACCAAAGGCTTGCAAGGGCCAGAGAAAACCACAAGTTATTGGGGAAATAGAGAAATACCAAAAGACCCAACTGGTGGTGAATCAAAACAAACTCCACTGGGGAAACATAATAGAATCACCCTAGGCTTGTTATGGAGATAAATCAAATCTGAGTGCATAACAAACTGGTTACCACAGGTGAACATAATTGGCTTATACTCATGCATGTTTGAATTTTTTTAGCATAATGCTCCATACAATGGAAATTCTACGCGTTTTAGTAGATGCAATGTAATGATACAATGTATTGATGCAATGTATTGATGGAATGTAATGATACATGTTTAGCAATGCACTGGGGAAATCACATCAACATTCAGATGTTGGGAAGATAATGAACCTCTGAACGTTTATTCTTGCACATCTGATCTTCTATAGAGAACATGCAATATAAACTTCAATGGGGAACCGAGATTCGAAACCATCAACCTCGAATGATTGATAACATTGAAGAAACAACTTCCTGGGGAGTAATACTGCAAAAATAAATTGCAGTTCAGGGAAAATCTTGAATTCTGATCAAACTTCCAACTTCCTGGGGGATAAATTCTTTATCTTCTGTTAGAAAGAGGAGAGCTTCGCTGAGGATGAAAGCTTCTGTCATAAGATTTATTGACGAAGATAACTTCTATTGGGGAGAATAGAAATTCTTAAATAAAAATAATTCTACTCAGACTACACTAGGGATAACACCGCCTGGGTACAAAATCTTCACTTGGGGAAGAAACCAACATCTTAGGATAAAAACTCCACTGGTAATATCTCAATAAATTTTTGTCACCAGGGATGAAAGAGTTATGACTAGAACTCCTATGTACATCACACTGGGGAGATAATACACTTGCTTCACTAGGGAAATAATAGCTTGCTCCACTGGGGAATAATAGGTACACCTTGCTTTGATAGGTTCTCAAAATTCAGCTTCGACTGGGGACAAAGACTACCTCATACACTGGGGGGGGGGGACAAGGCCTTTAGATGATAGCATCAATAATATTCGGTTGCACTGAGTGTAACCATCTTTACGAGATTTAAGCCGACAAGAAGTTCTGTAATGGGGAGCAGAAATCATTTCATTGCGGATGATGGTCGTCCTCATGAGGATAACAAGCTAGAATCTCTTGTAGGCAAACATAAGTCTCTTCAAGAACTCTGATATAGCAGGCTGTATTGGAAAGAGAGGGAGCGCATCCCTCATTGAGTAGGAGAATACATACTTCATGGGGAGAACAAGTGCAAACCTCACTGGGGAAGCCGTAGAATGTTGACATCAAGGGGAGTATATCAAGAATCTCCAATTAGTTAGTAAAATGATTCTTCCTAGAAACCTGGAAAGAAACAGATTGCACTGAGAAGGAGGATTACTCGGGCAAGAGTATGCCTTCACTAGGGAAAATACTGCAAAAACAAATTGCATTTCAGGGATAATTTTGAACTCTGATCCAACTCC